AAGATAGGTTATTGTTTGGAAGGTAAATCACCCCTCCATAAGGACTCTAGGTACCAAGTCCTTATCTGGGGCTATTTCCCTCCTTTGTTTTTTAATGCCACTAGGACCAACTTGAGAGTCACTGGACCCCTGTTGCACAAAATATCTGTCCAGATAGGTCTGTTTCTGGCGTCTCTAAGATTTGCCTAAAATGGTACATGGCATTGGTATTGTAAAAGTCACCAGCACAGATTGCAACAGCTTTTTCAGGGTGTTGTTCCTCCACATATGAATGCACTTTAGTCCAAATTGCACAAATCTCCTTAATCTTTGAAGAAGGCACCTTCTTCCTCCCTCTCTGAAGCAGTTTCCTCAGCTGTGGTCTGTTGCTGTTGCAGATGAAGGTCTTGCAGCTCATCAGTGGTTAGCTCTTCATCGTGGTCCTCCAACAACTCTTTCACATCCTGGCCACTCACATCCAGGACCATGGAATTTCCCAGTGCCACAGTTGTTTGCACAACAGGTGTAGGGTCGACAGGGTCAGCCTCAAACTCTTCAGAATCCTTCTTTTGGACACAATCTGGCCATAGTTTTCTCCAAGCAGAGTTCATCGTCCTGGAAGTCACTCCCTGCCAAGCCTTATCTATAAGGCCTTTGCAGTGGAAGATATTGAAGTGATTCTTCCAGAACTCTCTTAGGGTCAATTCAGAGCCCGAGGTTATGTCAAAGCACCTTTGAAACATTGCTTTGGTGTACAGTTTTTTGAAGTTTGCAGTGATCTGCTGGTCCATGGGCTGGAGGAGAGGAGTGGTGTTAGGAGGCAAAAACTTTACTGTTACAAAACAATACAGACTGTTACAGACAATTGGTCTCCCAAGTCTGGAGGATGAGCAGGAACATTGTCCATTAACAGGAGGCGCTGGAGTGGCAGTTTCTTATCCAGGAGGTATTTTTTTCACACTGGGACCAAACACTTCATTAAACCATTCCAGGAAAATTTCCCTTGTGACCCATGAACAAGGAGATAATATAACGACACTAAGTAGGGACCATCTGCAGATCCTCCACAAAAGTCACACAACTCCCTTACTACTGAATCTAAGTTCAGCATAAGAAAATCCCCGACTGTGACAATACGCAGATACTAGTACAAATTAGGTCAGAAGCTACAGCTCAGGACCTGAGTTGCTCAGAGTGTCTAAGAGACACACAACCTCACTACAACGTCGTAAATCACTAAGTCTATAAGATGTTCTGTGAACAGAGTCCCACAGAACCTACAACAATAATGAGACAGAGACGATCTTCCAACAAGGGCCAATAAGGGAAATTTAGGCACGACTTGTCAGGAATACGTCCAACCACCAAGAGAATCTAGACCAGACTGAATACTTCAGGCGAGGTGAGAACACCCCCCCCCCCCTCGATCACGTGATAGCTCCGTGGACAGTTGCTGCCCAGCAACAGAGAAGCCGGCAGAGTAACGAGCCACGAGCGATAATTACAGTAGTTAGACAATCAAGACTAACTATGAGCACATAATAATAATATATGACTGTTACATCCTACCTAACAAAAGTAACTAAGTCAAATAATAATATAAAACAACATATTTACGATTTAGCTATTATCGCAAATATAAGCAATATAAAATTATATGAAAAGGTAATATACATCATATACATCATATACATTGTAACCCATTCAGGGGTTGCAACAATGGGTGTGAGGCATGGGTGGTGAATGTTGCAACAAGGAGAAGGCTGGAGGCAGTGGCAGTGTCATGTCTGAGGGCAATGTGTGGTGTGAATATAATGCAGATAATCCATAGTTTGGAGATTAGGAGGTGTGGGATTAACAAAACTATTATCCAGAGGGCTGAGGAGGGGTTATTGAGATGGTTTGGACATGTAGAGAGGATGGAGCAAAATAGAATGACTTCGAGAGTGTATAAATCTGTAGTGGAGGGAAGGTGGGGTAGGGCTCAGCCTATGAAAGGTTGGAGGGAGAGGGTAAAGGCGGTTTTGTGTGTGAGGGGCTTGGACTTTCAGCAAGCGTGCTTGAGTATGTTATACAGGAGGAAATGGAGACAAATGGTTTTTAGGACTTGACGTGCTGTTGGAGTGTAAGCAAGGTAACATTTATGAAGGGATTCAGGGAAACTGCCAGGCCAGACTTGATTCCTGGAGATGGGAAGTACAGTGCCAGCACTCTGAAGGAGGGGTGTTACTGTTGCAGTTTTATAACTGTAATGTAAGCATGCCTCTGTCAAGACAGTGATGGAGTGAATGATGAAAGTTTTTCATTTTCGGGCCACCCTGCCTTGGTGGGAAACGGCCAATGTGTTAATAATAATAATTAATAGGCTAAATTAAATTGAGCTTGTTAAAGAAAGGTTAAGTAAGTTTTCTAAGGCTATTTTGGTGCGAAATTATTAATTTTTACATTAACATAAATTAAAAAAATACATCTTTAAATGTATAAGAGAAAATTTCAGAAAAGACTTAATTTTAAATGAGTTCTTTCTAATTGACCAGTTTTACCTATTCGGCGCGACATATTATATATATATATATATTATATATTATATATATATATATATATATATATATATATATATATATATATATATAATTTTGTTATAGTTTAACTTTTAGCGTAGGTCAGGTTGAGGTGAGCGTGTGGTGGGTAACGTAATAGATATAATGGTCGTTAGTGTGTGAATATATTGGGTGAGTATCCACATGTAAATGCCGCCCTCTGATATTTATTTGACACCAGTGTTATAAAGGGTATTATTTCGCTGGAGAGTAATAAAGTTCGTAGTTGATACACTAATCTAGAGCAGTGGCGCCACATTATGTCACCCACTACCACCACCACTACCACCACCACCACTACCACCACCACCACACACTACCACCACCACCACCACACCACCACCACCACCCCTACCACCACTACCACCACCACCCACACCACCACCACCACCACCACACTACCACCACCACCACCACCACCACTACTACCACACCACCACCACCCACCACCACACACCACCACCACCACCACTACCACCACCACCACTACCACCACCCCCTACCACCACTACACTACCCCTACCACCACCACCACTACCACCACCCACCACCACTACCACCACCAACCACCCTACACCCAACCACCACCACCACCACTACCACCACCACACTAACACCACCACTACACCACCACCACCACCACTACCACCACACACCACACTACCACCACCACACCACTACCACCACCACCCCACACCACCACCACCACCACACTACCACCACCACCACCACCCTACCACCACCACCCACCACGACCATACCACCACCACCACTACCACCACCACCACCACCCACCCACCTACTACCACCACCACCACCTACCGCACCACCACTACACCACCACAACTACCACCACCACCACCACCTACACACCACACACACTACCTCACACCACACTTACCACCACCACCACTACCACACCACACCACTACCACCACCACTACTACCACCACCACCACCACCATACTACACATCCACCACCATCACTACTCCATCACTACCACACCACCACAATCACTACCACCACCATAACTATCACAACCACCTCACTACCACTACCACCACCATCATCACCACACTACTACTACCAATACCACCACCATCACCACCACTCCATCATCACTTCCACCACAACCAACCACCACCACCGCCCATCACTGCCACACACCACACACTACTAAAATACTAGCACCACCACCAGCACACCACCATACTACTATACCCTATCATCACCACCACTACCACCACACCACTACCACCACCACCACTACCACCACCACCACCCCCGCTACCACACCACACCACCACCCACTACCACCACCACCACCACTATCACTGCCACTACAACTATCACCACACCACCCCCACCACCACCATACCACCACTACTACTGCCACTACACCACCCACCACTGCCACTACAACTACCACCACTCCACCACACAACATACCACACCACTACTGCCACTACCACCACCACCACCACCATTACTGCCACTAACCACCACCACCACCACCACCACTGCCACTACAACTATCACCACTACCACCTCCACCACTACCACCACCTCACCATCACCACTATCACTGCCACTACAACTATCACCACTACCACCACCACCACTGCCACCACTACTACCACCACCACCACTGCCACCACCACACCACCACCACCACACCACCACCACCACCACCACCACCACCACCACCACCACTAGCAGCGGTACCACCACTACTACTGCCACTACCACCACCACCACTGCCACTACAACTATCACCACCACCACTACCACCACCACCACCACCACCACCACCACCACCACTACCACCACTACTACCACCACTACCACCACCAGCAGCAGTACCACCACTACTACTACCACCACCACCTCCCCTTCCCATGTGATATTTTTGCTTTAAGACTTTAATAGCGTTCGTTTCACCCCTGTTTTGACATTAACGTCAGAAAATAATAAAAGGACGTTGTGATAATGGTATGAATTTGAGCTTTTCTTGGTTTGTATCAAACATCTCGTTCCCAGACGACATGCAGAGTGCGGCTGCTGTAGTATTGTTGTGGAGCGCTAAGCCTGTTCCTGTATCCCTGTTCAGGTTTCTCATTATTATTATTATTATTATTATTATTATTATTATTAACCCGTTGGGATAATACAATATTTGGGGAATGGGACATAAAAAGGTCTGATATTAAGGAAGGGTAGAGGGCAGCGAGTGACTAGCTCCCTTAAGGTTTACTATACTAATAGTAGGAGTCAAAGAAATTAGATAGATGAGCTAAGATTACTTGCAAGTGCAGGTAATATAGACATTATTGCTATAACGGAGACCTCCTTTCTTATGTTCTTACCGTCATATAAATTAAAACGTTGTGTAGTTTTAAAAATAAATTAGATAAATACATGAGTGGATGTGAGTTGGACCTGACTAGCTTGTGCTAATAGGTCTGATGCCATACTCCTTCCTTGAGTGGATGTGACCTGACCTGACTAGGTCAAGTTACATCCACTTAGGTTGGGTTAGTGGCTTAACCCTTTATTGGGCAGAGGCAGTTTTGACCGCCTTTAAACACGTGCACCTTTACGCGTGTCATCCTACTCGTGCTGTGCATCTGGATTCCCGTTCTTTAATTCTGACCAATCACAAGCCTTCCCTGAGTCGCTTCAGCTAAGTGGTGATGACGTTTGCCGCCTTCCCATTGGTTGAGAGAACAAAATGTAAACACTTGCGGCTTGGCGTCGCCCAGAGTGGGTTTTTTCCATCTAGTGTCACTAATATACTCTTGGATTTTACCCTCTACAATGTCGGTAAGTACTGATTGTTGTGTTTAGTGTGTACATGAATAGTTTAGGCATATTTTGATATATACATAAAGTCCGTGTGAAACATACTGTGAGTGTAGCATGCAGTTGAAAAAAGTGCAACAAAAGAAGGGCAGTCAGAACTGCCTCTGCCCGAGTAGGGACATAGTCCACTTTCAGTAAAATAAATATTTATAAAAAAATTTCTACTGCATATATGAATTCGGTAGGTGTCTGGATGTATACAGAACGTTTTTATTGTCCTTCCAGATCAATGAGAAATTGTTTTATGGGGAGCCCTCCAGCACCAGGTCAAAATATGTCTGCATTTTGGATGACAGTGACTCAGAACCAGTGGTAGATGACCCTGAATTGCTTGATAGTGGTGATGAATACTTGCCACCAGACGCAGAGGTGTCGAGTGAGGATGAGGAGGAAGAAAGGCCAGCCAAAAAGCAGAAATTAGTCAAGAAAAAGAGAGGCATTACGATTGAGGAGTACCCTGATGAGGAACATATTTATGACGATCTTGCTCTTCAAGGTGAACCTAAGTGGTCCCAGGTTGACCTCCAAAATAACCCTTTGCCGGCATATGAACATGAAAAGCCTCTTCAAATTAGGTCTCCATATCAGTATTTTTGTGATTTCTTTACTCCAGACATGGTAGATAACATAGCATTTCAAACAAATTTGTATGCCAAGCAAAAAAACATAAATAAAAATATTGCAACAGATTCTGAAGAGATCATGAGGTTCATAGGTATTTTGTTGTTCATGAGTATTGTTCAATCACCATCAGTAGAAGACTATTGGGCAGGTTCATTTAGGATCCCCCAGGATGCAGAAGTCATGGGGTCTAAGAGGTTTAGGTTACTTAGATGTACTATCCATTTCAGTGACAACACACAGAAGCATAAAGAAGGCTAAAAATTGCTTCATAGACTTCCATTCTAGCAATTAGTAATATACAATGATTGCTCTTCCTCATGAATCTCAGGAATATGGGACTTGAAAGTTTTATCCCTTTGCAATGTGTCCTTGTTGCTATTTCTTTCATTTTTATATTTTTCTAATACTTACAAAATGTTTTGATACAAGTTCCATTGATGTTTTTGATATTGTATTTGTATAATAAATTTTAAAAATAGTTATTGGGTGTTTTATTAATAATTGCAAGTTTGCAACATTCAAATTTATACTCCCCTTGTCGGGCAAGGGCGAGTTTAACTGCCTTTCGCAGATTAGCAATTGCTCAGAAACTAACCATCAGAATTCCATTTATATGGCCTCATTCATCTTATATTGAGTTACTCTATCCACTCTAAAGGAGTTAAGTGTGAAATTCCATTATATCAGACATTGCCCGATAAAGGGTGACTTGGACTTGCCTCGCATGGGCCAGTAGGCCTGCTTCAGTGTTCCTTCTTTATTATGTTCTTATCTTCTTATGTAAACAAACCACTGTATGGGTGGGACTTGAACTCGCGGCAAGTGAATCGTAAAACTCCAGACCAGCGCGTAAACCACTGGGCCAGTTGGCTGGCCCAGTGGCTTACGCTCTGGCTTTACTAGGACTCACGATTTCTTGAGTCAAAATAAAGGAAGGATAACTCGAATTCCTTGCATGAAGAGCACCCATTCCCTTCCCCTCGAAGGGTTTGTGTTGATACAAGCTCATGTAATGTCTATGTTGAGATATACCCCTGCTCCGGGCTTGACCTTGCCTCAGCCCAACCACACATCCATCATTACTATCTCGTAATTACGCTTCGCAAACCCAGTAGAGCATATAAGCTACCTCACTACACACCTAGATAATACACTACAAGTCTGAATCTAGGTAGACTAGGTACTTCCCAGCAGATGTTGCGGTGTTGACTTCCATATCCTCCGCTATCTGTTATTCCCATGTTCTCCCATGCACTCTGGTTAGTATTTGACTAGTTTTACTAACCCTTCTCGCTCTTAATATAGATGTAAGAGTTTTTTTTTTTTACTCTTAGGGTAGATGAAAAGTGGAATGACTCGGATGAGGCAGTGGTGGAGGCAGACTCAATGCGTAGCTTCAAGAGTATGTATGTAATAAAGGCCCAAGAGGTCAGAAATCTGTGATGCTGATCAAAATAGTTAAAGAGGTGGGGCCAGAAGCTGAGTCTTCACTCTCTCCAGAACAAATTGGTGAATTCATTTGACGCGTAAATTTGCTTATTGTATAACCCCAACCGTTTTTCATTCCCGTAGACGGAAATCGAAATATACAGTCTTGTTTTGCATTGTGTATCTTCTACCTGTGGACGAGTGGGTGGGCGAGAGGGCGGGGAGATGGGTGGATAGGCGGGCAGATGGATGGATGGGCGGGCAGGTGGGTGTGTGGGCGGGCCGGCTGGGAGATAACTTGGACGGTGGCAGCAGATACAACATCTATGAAATATGTATGTTGGTGGGACAGGTGTTGGATACCCGTGCTACCAATGGTTTCTTGTGGCCGGACGTCAGCCACTGCCAACGGTATGCTCTGAAGGACTCATGATCCAAACAACTGGAGCTACCTTCCCCTTCCTCGCATCAAACCTGATTACCTCCCATTACCCAGGCTCTGTATGGCCCCTTATTGGCTTAACGTTTCACCGTGGTAATAATTTTGTGTATAGTGATTCTGGCGGATACCTGAAGGCCTGATCAACAAGGCTGTTACTGCTGGTTGCACGCAGTCTAACGGACGAACTGCTACCTGGGTGGCCAGGAACTGATTCGAAAAAATGTAGCAATAAAACGAAAGTGGATTGACCTTCGTACCGGTGTAGGATTGTTGTGAATATTGGTGTAAGAAGGTGTGGCAGAGTGTAGTAGCCTGATATTAAATGTAGGAAGGTGTGGCAGAGTGTAGTAGCCTGGTATTAAATGTAGGAAGGTGTGGCAGAGTGTAGTAGCCTGGTATTAATTGTAGGAAGGTGTGCAGAGTGTAGGGCTGGTATTGTGAGTAGGAAGTGTGCAGAATGTAGTGGCTGATATTAAGTTAGGAAGTGTGGCAGAGTGTAGTGGGCTGGTATTGATGAGTAGGAAGGTGTGGCAGAATGTAGTGGGCTGATATTAGTATAGGAAGGTGTGGCAGAGTGTAGTGGGCTGGTATTAGTATAGGAAGGTGTGGCAGAGTGTAGTAGCCTGGTATTAATTGTAGGAAGGTGTGGCAGAGTGTAGTGGGCTGGTATTGATGAGTAGGAAGGTGTGGCAGAATGTAGTGGGCTGATATTAGTATAGGAAGGTGTGGCAGAGTGTAGTGGGCTGGTATTAGTATAGGAAGGTGTGGCAGAGTGTAGTTGGCTGGTATTAGTGAAGGAAGGTGTGGCAGAGTGTAGTGGGCTGGTATTAGTGAAGGAAGGTGTGGCAGAGTGTAGTGGGCTGGTATTAGTATAGGAAGGTGTGGCAGAGTGTAGCGGGCTGGTATTAGTATAGGAAGGTGTGGCAGAGTGTAGTGGGCTGGTATTAGTATAGGAAGGTGTGGCAGAGTGTAGTGGGCTAGTATTAGTATAGGAAGGTGTGGCAGAGTGTAGTGGGCTGGTATTAGTGTAGGAAAGTGTGGCAGAGTGTAAGATAAGATAAGATAAGATAAGATAAGATTTCGTTCGGATTTTTAACCCCGGAGGGTTAGCCACCCAGGATAATCCAAGAAAGTCAGTGCGTCATCGAGGACTGTCTAACTTATTTCCATTGGGGTCCTTAATCTTGTCCCCCAGGATGCGACCCACACCAGTCGACTAACACCCAGGTACCTATTTGCTGCTAGGTGAACAGGACAACAGGTGTAAGGAAACGTGTCGAAATGTTTCCACCCGCCGGGAATCGAACCCGGGCCCTCCGTGTGTGAAGCGGGAGCTTTAGCCACCAGGCCACCGGGCTGGTATTAGTGTAGGAAAGTGTGGCAGAGTGTAGTCGTGTAATCTTCGTGTGGTTTATGTGGTATTGATCTAGGTTAGGTTTTTATTGAGTGTAGAGAGGATAAGGGTGTGGATGTGGAGGGCGGATAAAGCGTCACCACCATTATTCCCATCACTTTCACCTCGGTCACTACCATTACTTTCTCCACTACCACTACACCCGCTTCCATTAACATCAACACCACCACCACCACATCATTAATCACCTCCACATCCACCACCACCATTACCATCATCGTCACCATCAGTCAGCGTCACTACGTGCGGACAGTTAAGCTCTGGCCACACTGATCCTCCATAATCAAATGTGGAATGATTGAAGGCTCTCCGATACAGCGCTCCACTACCAGAGGTCTGTATGAATTATAAGCCAGAGTCTGCAGTGTTCCCCTCGATCAGTACTCTGCAGTGTTCCCTTCCCCATCGCTTGGTACCCTGCAGTGTTCCCCTCCTCATCGCTCAGTACTCTGGAGTGTTCCCCCTCCCAATCGCTCAATACACTGCAGTGTTCCTCTCCCCATCGCTCTGCAGTGTTCCTCTCCCTATCGCTTAGTACTCTGCAGTGTTCCCCTTCCCATCCCTCAGTGCTCTGCAGTGTTCCCTTTCCCATCGCTTGGTACCCTGCAGTGTTCCCTTCCCCATCGCTTATTACCCTGCAGTGTTCTCCTCCCCATCGCTCAGTACTCTGCAGTGTTCCCCCCTCCCCATCGCTCAGTACACTGCAGTGTTCCTCTCCCCATCGATCAGTACTCTGCTGTGTTCCCCTCCCCATTGCTCAGTACTCTGCAGTGTTCCCTTCCCCATCGCTTAGTACTCTGCAGTGTTCCCCTCCCCATCACTTAGTACTCTGCAGTGTTCCCCTCCCCATCACTCAGTACTGTGCAGTGTTCCCCTCTCCCATCGCTCAGTACTGTGCAGTGTTCCCCTCCCCATCACTCGGTACTCTGCATTGTTCCCTTCCCCATCGCTTGGTACCCTGCAGTGTTCCCCTCCCCATCGCTCAGCACTCTGCAGCGTTCCCCCTCCCATCGCTCAGTACACTGCAGTGTTCCTCTCCCCATCGCTTAGTACTCTGCAGTGTTCCCCTCCCCATCGCTCAGTACTCTGCAGTGTTCCCTTCCCCATCGCTTTGTACCCTGCAGTGTTCCCCCTCCCAATTGCTCAGTACACTGCAGTGTTCCTCTCCCCATCGCTCAGTATTCTGCAGTGTTTCCCTCCCCTTTCAAAGCAGGTGAAATCGCAGATCTAGAGAGTGTACAGAGATCCTTTACTGCACGTATAAGTTCTGTCAAGCACCTTAACTACTGGGAACGCTTGGACGCACTTGACTTGTACTCGTTGGAACGCAGGAGGGAGAGATATATCATAATCTACACTTGGAAAATCTTGGAAGGAATGGTCCCAAATCTGCACACAGAAATCACTCCCTACGAAAGTAAAAGACTGGGCAGGCGATGCAAAATGCCCCCAATAAAAAGTAGGGGCGCCATTGGTACACTAAGGGAAAACACCATAAGTGTCCGGGGCCCAAAACTGTTCAACAGCCTCTCATCAAGCATTAGGGAAATTGCCAATAAACCCCTGGCTGCCTTCAAGAGAGAGCTGGACAGATACTTAAAGTCAGTGCCGGATCAGCCGGGCTGTGGCTCGTACGTTGAACTGCGTGCGGCCAGCAGTAACAGCCTAGTTGATCAGGCCCTGATCCATCGGGAGGCCTGGTCATGGACCGGGCCGCGGGGGCGTTGATTCCCGGAATAACCTCCAGGTAACCTCCTCATCGCACGGTACACTGCNCCCCAAGTGCTCCTCTCCCCATCGCTCAGTATTCTGCAGTGTTCCCCTCCACATCGCTCAGTACTCTGCAGTGTTCCCTTCCCCATCGCTTAGTACTCTGCAGTGTTCCCCTCCCCATCACTCAGTACTCTGCAGTGTTCCCCTCCCCATCGCTCAGTACTCTGCAGTGTTCCCCTCCGCATCGCTCAGTACACTGCAGTGTTCCCTTCCCCCTCGCTCAGCACTGCAGTGTTCCCTTCCCCATCGATCAGTACACTGCAGTGTTCCGTTCCCCATCGCTCAGTACTTTGCAGCGTTTCCTTCCCCATCGCTTAGTACACTGCAGTGTTTCCCTCCCCATCGATCAGTACGCTGCAGTGTTCTCCTCC